CTCAGAGGGGAGTCCTCTTCGACTCCCCTATACTTGGAGATGTCAATCTTCAAGGTTTCGGGTCGACGCGAGTGCATCGACCCGCCAGCAGCACACCCTGCTCCTGTCTCAACAGTTCAAACGGTTGAGTCACCCCATCTCTCAACAACTCTGCTTGTTGAGCCTAAGGGTGAAGCAAGGCTACTTTCTCGTGTTCAGCGTCAAGTTCATTTTTTGAATGAACTTGGCGATATGAGCATGTTGGGGCATCTCTGTTGAGAGCCTCTAGCATGACGCTAACAGCATGGATGCCCATGGTTGAACCCATCCGTTCAACCGCACCTATCGACATCGCTCAAATAGGAGTAGAGCCGTCACGCGTAGCGCGTGAAAGCTTTGGTGTCATCAATCATCTAACGAATTCATGTTAGATGTGAACGTGGTCCCCCGACGACCTCGAAGTGCTACGCGAGTGTAACGGGCATCCCCTGAAGCTTGTACTGGTGACAGTACAAGCTACTTATTCTGATGACAGAATAAGGCGGTGCCTCGTAACTTCACGTACACTCGTACGTGCAGAGGAAGACGGTAAGAAGAAGCGAGTACTTGGTTAGAGTAAAAAGTAGAACTGTATTTAGTATAGTTAATGTCTGTTAATAAATCCCTATTTATCTTCATCTAACTATGTCTAAATACAAATGTGTAAATCAGTTATCTGCTCACCACTCAATGCGTGCGTCTGTCGTGGCGCGTCTTCGTTGGTTGATATAATGGCCTATATCAACCAATTAGGAACTACTCGTAAGTGCTACAGAATATTTGTCCTTGTGACAATATTCTGAGAATATAACTCTTATAGTTATATTCTATTAACAATTTCTTGTAAATTGTTTTGTAACGGTTCACCCCGTTACAGTGGTTCGAGGGACCCGAGACATCACTCGTTTAAGCGAATCCCATATGAAAAACGCAGCGTCTACCGACGCATTACATGTTAGGAGCCCATTTTTTGGCTCTACCGTCTAGTTTTGAAATAGCTAAGCTAATTTCCCTGTTGTTCAGATTGGAGCATCGCAACATTAATAGCCATATCGACTTCTCGGATCTAGGGAAGGAGAGTTCCCCCTCTCTTTTCCGTCGAAAATCTTATCGCTACGAGAGAGCGGGCAAGCCTTAGGGCGCACTGTCAGGTACCGGGATGTGCCGTGTAGGTACCGCTGAGTCTAAATGGTCATAAATCTGCCCGATTAGCGTGGCCTTAACCTGCATGAACGCATCGAAGCGTGCATTGAGCACTTTTTGGCCTTGGGCCACAATGTGGTCGACCTGCTCGACCCCAATTAACGCTCTAAGCTTACCGAACGCGAGACGCTGGGCCTCGGAGAGGTGAGGTCAAGACTCTCCATCTCTGTATAAAGGATCAGTCGAAAACGACTCAGGTGTGGGATTGATTACAAGTGCTACCAAGTGAAGCGGAGCTACCACAGCTCAAAAGTCAGAGGAAGATCTTATGGGTTAAGCCAGAGGCTTACGGCTAGCATTAAAATATTATCAAGGAACTATTATATCAAGTTTAAGAGTCGGCTAGTTATACGGAACTTAGCGCGGACCCTATAAGTTATTATCTCAGACTACTGTAGTTCTAAGGAAATACACGCACAATGTCTAAAGATGGATACTGGAGTCTAAGGACTCTTTAACTCACGACAGTTCTACGGAACTGTCAGGCGCAACGTGCGAAAGGGTGGAAGTCTACGGACTTCTGCTCAAAGTGAGAGCTGAGTTTTATTCAGATTTTATATCAAGGAAAATCCTATTTTAAGTACCCTACATTCTACTAAACTAGAACTAATTTAAATATTAGTATTTGAACTAAATAAATGGTTGGCACATCACTCAGTCATCAAATGATGACGGTACATACTACTTCCACGGTAATTACCGTAGCTCAGATAATACCGACTAATCGGTATTCTCTATGAAACTTAGATCCAAGACCACACTTGTCTCCCATATCACATATGGGAGGTCTTCGACCAATTTAGCCAATGGCTAGTGTGACTCCGTTACAAGTCATCACTCTTTAACAAATAGTAATCGCCTTGACAAGGCTAACACTCTTACAATAAGCTATGCCTTAACTAGGCACTAGCGCATAACGATTTAAAAGGGGAACTGAACTTTATTTATTCTTTGAATATGGTAATAAATCCCTAAAACCTTGCCTGACTGACTTCTACATTGCAATTATATGACAGAAGTCTTATCCCTCTTCCCTAACATATAAGGTGCGGTATTACCGTATGTACGTGGTACCAAGACTGTACCACTTAGACCTACCGATCTTTACTTCGTGTGGACACACAACATAACTGGGTCAATAGCCGCCGTGTAATCCCGTTACAGATGTAAATTGTTATCAAGCTAAAAAAGCCAGGTTTATAAAACCTTTTATAGGGATTAAATGGTTCTGACCTCCTATTTCTTGAGACCCTCAATCTCTTTCTGCTTAACTGTCTACTCAAAGTCATAATGTGAACAGGCCTAGATCATTTTCAGCGTGGTTTTCAATCAATCTATATCAATACATCTTCGTTCTCACACATTAGCTTTGTCCTTGAAAACATCTTGTGGCTCATAGCTACCAATTACAGCCTGAAGTCCAGGCAATGCTGCATCCATGGTGTAACAGGGCACCCTGAAGCTTGTACTGGTGACAGTACAAGCTACTTATTCTGATGACAGAATAAGGCGGTGCCTCGTAACTTCACGTACACTCGTACGTGCAGAGGAAGACGGTAAGAAGAAGCGAGTACTTGGTTAAAGTAAAAAGTAGAACTGTATTTAGTATAGTTAATGTCTGCAATTAATCACTATTTATCTTCATCTAACTATGTCTAAATACAAATGTGTAAATTGATTATCTGCTCACCACTCATTGCGTGCGTCTGTCGTGGCGCGTCTTCGTTGGTTGATATAATGGCCTATATCAACCAATTAGGAACTACTCGTAAGTGCTACAGAATATTTTTCCTTGTGACAATATTCTGAGAATATAACTCTTATAGTTATATTCTATTAACAATTTCTTGTAAATTGTTATGTAACGATTCACCCCGTTACATCACCCCCCCTTAACCATCAGTCACTTTAGTGACTGATTGACTAAATGGATACTCGTCCCAAATCATTTGGGACAGGGTTTGCACTTGTTAATCCGAGTCCACAGTCCATAAGTTTCATCGCATGGTTAACAAGCCCATGCAGTGCGCGAGCAAGGCCTCCGAGAGCGCGTCCGCACGTCTCTGTGCGGACGCCGAAGCAGAAACCACAGCAACTGATGTCTCATCGGTTGCTGAAGCGACCCAGCCTGTGTCACTTGGTGATGCAGGCGCTGGTCATGAAGACACTCATGTCTTCACAGAGTACGAGCTCGGTGTCTCGTACTCCCCTGATACGGAAGACGGATCCGTATCGACGGCGATTGAATCCAAGCCGCCTGCCAAGCGTGGCATAGACGATGCTTTGCGTCGTAGCATCTTTGGTTCATCTGATGAATCAGATGAACCATCGCCGAAGCGTAGGCGCTCGAGGTCGCGAGACTCGGGCGCTCACAGTGGTGTCGGTTCTCCTATGGACACCACTTCGCAACGAGGTGCCAGTACTTCTGTCGGCACATCGCAGGAAGAGCGGGATCGCAATGTCTTGCGTCTCGCTCCTGAGAAGAAGGCATGGATGCCTCCGAAATCTGTCATGGATCACTTGTCGGCGACGACGAGTGATCGTTATCGAACACGGTTGTTCGATTCGTCAAGGATCCATCACCTTGACCCCAGCGCGAAAAACTATCGCGCTGAACATGAATTCTTTATCGATGCTTTCTTTAGACATCGATGGAACAGTGGAAATCGCAAACATGATGGTCCCTCACTGCTTCAGGCGTGGAACGCCTACATCCATAACCTTGAGGATGTAGGTCGTGACTCTTGGAACGACAAACTTATCAAAGCTCGTGATAAGTTTGAAAAGCGAACCCCGACAGGTGCACGCTACAAGCTGCATCTTCTGTCAAGGGAGAAAGGACTACCCTGCCTCTCTTGGGGAGACTCGTGCCCGTGTTGTGTGAACACCTCTGCACGAGCACCTAAGGAGGCTTACCTCCTTACCAGCCCGTGGTGGCGCGTACGTATCTCTAGTGAGATGTACGAAGGGATTGACAACCTGAAATCCCTTTACGACCGTGCCGGGAAGACTTTCTCCGGCGGTCCTTCTGCGGCACAGGATGTGCCGCGTCGTACTGCTCAACCAGACCCAGTACGTCGATCATCAGTTGGGAGCGGGGCTCCCAAGAATCCCAGGACGGGGGATAGCCGCGCCACCGGACGAGATAACTCGTCCGACGTCCGTTCACGTCGCGGTGGCTCAACAGCTGCTCAACTAGATAGCGCTGGCCACCGCGAGAGTCCTCTAATGGAGGTGGAGGAGGAGGAAAGACGCTCTCCACACGATCATGTGGATCGGTGTGTTCCCGAGAGCTTTTTGATCGCGTAACGCAAGGGTTACGCGACGATCTCGAACATGAGCGGAATAGGCGTCTCCAAATGGCGGACACTGCCTCGAAGCATCGAGCTGAGTTTGCCTTTGCTCAGCTTGATAACGAGAGATCTCTGACATCTCTTCGTGACGAGCTAAGGGTAGCTCGTGAGATTGTTGATCGGTCTCGGGATGAGGTAGCTGCTCTTCAGACCCTTGTTGATGCCCATCATCGGGAGCACAAGGCTCTCTGCGAGATGCTTGAGCGCAAGGGCGTTCTTCATCGGAAGAAGCAGCGTACTGATGGTACGGCTTAAGCCGACCAACGTAAAACGTGGGATGCGTTCGCATCTTACGTGGTAACTCGATCGTGTATGCATTGCCTAGGCGGTGCAATACACGAAATGGGCCGATGTACTTGGGTAGAAGTTTACTACTACCCAAGTTAGTCACTACATGCTTTGGTAGATTAACCGTAGACAGTAGGACTAAGTCACCTTTATAAAATAAAAGGGTGTTTGCCCTTCCATTCTTGTCAGCGTTTTGCTTTTGCTTATCCACCGCTTCGGCGATGGAGTCTTGCACAAAACGGACTACCGTTTCACGAGCCAGTATGAACTCATCTGATGACTCGTTAGCTTCAGTGCGCTGTGAGCGCACTGCAGCAACATCAACCTTTTCTTCAGTGAAAGCTTCCGCACTCTCACTGGCATCATCTTCTTCAGTGAGGGCTTCCGCACTCTCACTGGCATCATCTTCTTCGATATCGATGTTATCGATATCGGCATCAAACGCAATGACCTCTTCGTCAGAGCGTGATGAGCGTGAACCAAATCGGTTTTTGCTCGCGCGAGTCTCTCCCCTTAAACCAGAGTTACACTCTAGTAAGGTGGGTACACGCGGATGGCGTAAGCCATTCACGTAGAACGGTGTATGTGTCGTGGACGCATGCACCGAGTTGTTAATGGCAAACTCTACCATTGGCAAAAACTCACTCCAACTCTTAAAGGAGTGTACGTATCCTCGAAGTATCTCTTCGAGGACACGATTGGCACGTTCCGTCTGACCATCTGACTCTGGATGATCAGATGTCGACATCTTCAAGCGCGTTCCGAGTGATTTAAACACGGAACGCCAGAAATCAGCAGTGAATCGTGGATCTCTGTCTGATACGAGTTCACGGGGCAACCCATGAAGTCGGAAGATGGTGTTAATAAAGACACAAGTACAGCCACTTGCCGTGATTGACTCTGGTACAGCCACAAGGTGTACCATTTTGCTGAATCTGTCAACAAATACGAGAATACCCGTATTCCCGCGTGCGTCTTTGGGTAACCCGAAGACGAAATCCATTGAGATGGATTCCCAGCACTCAGCCGGAACCGGTAGAGGCTGTAAAGGTGCAAGCAGTGAAGGACTTGACTTCGCTCGTTGGCAGACTTCGCATGCGCGAACATACTTTCACATAAACTGATACTGGCGGGGCCAGTAAAAGTCCCGGCTCACCGTGAGATATGTTTTCTCCCGGCCACGATGTCCTACTATAGGAGCATCGTGATACTCGAACATGATCCGCAAACGCAGATCAGTATCATCTGGAATGACAACACGTGGTGTGTCACCAGAAACAGCTATATAATACAGTAAACCGTTACGAGTAGTATATCGATCTGATGCAGATCGATACGCAGGCGACAATCGTTTCAACGATTCTCGAGATGGTTGGGAGAGATGTGTCAACAACTTCACAATCTCACCATCTTGGGCGTATGCCCGCCTCACATCATCATGTAACGTTGAAGATGGGACTGAGGACGTCATAACCGCAACAGTGACTGTATCACTGTTGAGTTTCACGACTGTTTCAAAGTCGGGCCGACGTGAGAGTGCATCAGCGACGACATTAAGTCGTCCTGGTTTGTACTCGACCGTAAAGTTGTATTCTGCAAAGAATGACAACCACCGCGCCATTCGTTGCGAAAGGTGCGGGCTGTTCACTGCCGTGTGTAATGACGCATGGTCAGTGTAAACAATGAAGGGTCTATCTCTTAATAGATAGACTCTGAACTTCGCGAGTGCATACTTCATGGCAAGGAGTTCCTTGTCATGCACTGGATAGTTCCGCTCAGCTGGTTGCAGCTGACGCGACTGATAGCAGACGACGCGTTCAACGCCTTCTAGGTCGTACTGCATTAATGCACAGCCGATTGCGAAATCGCTGGCATCACAGACCACATGAAATGGCCTGTCCTGATCGGCTATTGCTAGGACTGGGGATTGTATCAAGCTCTGCTTGACACCATCAAAGGAGCGCTGACATTCAGCGTTCCATAACCACCTCTCGTTCTTTTTCAACAAACGAGAGAGGCGCACAGTCATCTCGTCGTAATTGCGTGAATACTTATGCAAACAAGCCGCTATACCAAGGAATATTCGAAGACCTTTGACATCAACCGGCACAGGCCAGTCGGTGATCGCCTTGATCTTTTCGGGATCAGGACGTACACCGTTCTTACCAACGATGCACCCAAGAAGTGGTATTTCGCTTGCTGCAAATATACACTTCTTGAGGTTTGCATACAATCGATGCTTTCGCATGATTGTAAGAACCTGTCGGACGTGGTACCTGTGAACCTCAACGTCCGACTTTCCATCCATAGCTCGACTATGGATGAATACGTCATCGAAATAACTCGGCGCGAATTCTCGTACTGGTCTCAACAGATGTGTATCACATCTGTTGAACGTGGCAGGGGCATTACTAAGCCCTTGTGGCATTACTAGCCATTCCCAGAGCATGCCGCTAGGCGTGCTAACTGCGGTATAGGGTATATCCCGTTCCCGCAAAAGGATTTGATAGAAGCCATCCATCAAATCCATGGACGAAAAGATGGTACTCTTTGACATACCATCAATGATTACGTCCATCCTCGGTATCGGCGTCTGAGCCGGTACCGTTGCAGCGTTCAATTTGTTAAACGCGTGCACTATCCGCCACCCTCCTGTTGCTTTTCGCACACAGAAGGTCGGAGAGCTATGTGGGGAAGTTGATTCCCTCACATGGCCCGCAGCTAAACGATCGGCAAAGAACTTGTCGATCGCAAGTACTTGTTCACGAGGCAGTGGCTACTGCTTCATGACACAGTACTTCGAGCCTGGTTTAATCTCGACCTCGTGTCGAGTACCTTTATCCTTCAGTAATTCGCACGGAACAGTTTCAGGGAATACATCCTTGAATTCAACCAAATCTTCATAGAGAGGATTTTTCTTGAGCGATTCCCACGATTGGGAGTCATATCGCTCAATTCGTGTCTTTTCATCTAGGACACTCTCGTCCATAGATGAACTACTGAGAACTCTCTCGTTCTCAGTAAACACTGTTGCTGACCTTATGTCGGTTACACACTCGTCGTCGGCGACGAGTACGCAGATCTGCTTGACTTTGCCACTACGCAGATCACGCAAGAACCTTTTATGTTCGAGCGTTGGCAACTGAGTGATCTCCGAAGTCAACTTCGGAGGCGCAATCATATCAAGTGTATAAGCGCCTACGCTTGATCCGTCATTGACTATGACATTCAATGTCTCTGTCATTTCCTGGGGACTTATTCCCTCAGGCCTCGAAGGACTTATTCCTTCGGCTTCCCGGGGACTTATTCCCGCGGGTTTCGGGGAACTTATTTCCGCCGTGTTTGTAATCTTGGGACTTATTCCCATTACTTCCTCTAGCTGGGGTTGCGCAACCACAGCGAGATCCTCTACGAAAGACTCTCCAGTCGATCTAGGATTATCGTTTCGCTTAACCTGAGCGATCGATTGTTTCTCTTCTAGATGTTCCCCGCTAGGGATACATCTTTGTCCCGGTCCACACGACTTATTCGAGTGGTGGACCTTCGGCGCAGCCTGTGTTTCCTCACAGCCGTCGGAACTTTGCTCCGAAGTGTAACCGTTTGGTACACTAAGGTTTCGTGCAGTCGTACTAACGACCGTACCACAAGTGAGATCATCGCACTCACTCGTAGTACATCCACACGCTTGTGGACGCTCCAAAACGTTCATCAGATGGCCATCTGATGAACAAGCGGCAGGCATAGTTACTGTCCGATGTTGCCAGTTTACCCGTGGTTCGTACCTTCTGAGCCACGGTAATCTAAGGATGACATCAAATTTGTCATCCAAATCCAAATACGATAAAGTCATCGTCACATTGAGTATCTTCTAGCGTATAGTGAATCTTCGCTATACGCTTCATGACGGTTACGGATGTGCCTTTCGCAAGACGTACCGTCATCCTCGTAGGAGGTGTGTCACATTCACTGAATTTAAAGTGACCATCTTCTAGCGATTGGCGTCGCACAAAATTGTTGGACGCCCCACAATCGACTAGAGCTCGAAGGGACAACTTATTTGTCACTTCGAGTTTCAAGGTAATGAGTGAGTCCTCATTACCTAGAGCAGCAACGCACAATGATTGTGTGTTGGGAGCAACCTTCATCAAGAGGCCTACAAATTCTCTTGACGTTGCTGGACCAGTAGGGTGCTCCGCACCTACTGATCCTGTCCATTTTTGACGGTCCATCCCGTTGTTGCGTTTTTGCACCAACGGCGGACCCGTGTCCCTGCCTCTTTCTCATGGGTGGACGGTAACTACGCCCAGTGTTGCGAGACACTGGACGAGGGGCACTACACTCGTAAGCGTAGTGTACTGTCTTTTGACATCTGATGCATCTCTGCAACTTCTTGTAGCCTGTAGAGCGAGCCTTCTCGCTCTCTACATAACAGAGTTCCATCGGCTCTGGACCTCCGTGTCATATCGTCTCGGTTGACGATATGATGTCGAGCTGGCGCGAGCCTGTCTCAGACTGAAGTCTTCCTGCTCCGCAATGTAAATGGCTTGTTCTAGTGAATCTAGGTAAAGTCGGAACAGGTGAGTCTTGGCGGGACCATCCTCAAGACCCTGCATGAACACCGAAACCAACGTGTGTTCATCCACCGGATTGGAACTTATACAACTCGTGAGATGTCGTACATGTTGTGCGTAAGCGTGCACATCACGCTTACCTTGTTTGAGCTTCAAGAGAAGGTTCGAGCTCTGAACTCAGCTCTAGGCGGTTCAAACGTTTGTCTGAGCCGCGACTTGAAGACTTCCAACGACCCAAACGCATATAGGTCGTGCAACTTGAGCCCCAGTGCCCAAGTCTTGGCATGTCCTGCCAGATTTGACTGGGCAAATGCAACTTGCATTTCCCCATCGTCGATGCGACGCGCCCTTATGGCGTCATCCAATTCGACGAACCATCTCAAGAGGGAGTCCTCTTCGACTCCCCTATACTTGGAGATGTCAATCTTCAAGGTTTCGGGTCGACGCGAGTGCAACGGCACCAGCCAGCAGCTTCCGCCCTCTTCTCTCTCCAAACCATTCGGCTCCCCTCCCTCTCCACTCCCCCACTTTTTTTGTTGGGTTCGTTGTTGGGGGAGAGAGGCTCTTTTTTCGCGTCTTAGTTTTGTTTTTAATTGAATTTGTTGTGAGTGAATGTTGGGGGTCTTCTTTTTTGGGTCCCTCTGCCTGGCCACGACAACAATGGAGGCCCTTGGTTGCCCCCCTCCCCCCCATCCCCTTCCCCTCCTCCACTTCAAAAAGAGTAGGAGCCGCCCCCTGGCGTGAAAGTTGTAATCATCATCTTCACATCCCAAATAATTCTTTTAAGTTGAAGCGTGGTCCTTGGACGGACTACGAAGTGCTACCGAGTGTAACGGGTCACCCTGAAGCTTGTACTGGTGACAGTACAAGCTACTTATTCTGACGACAGAATAAGGCGGTGCCTCGTAACTTCACGTACACTCGTACGTGCAGAGGAAGACGGTAAGAAGAAGCGAGTACTTGGTTAGAGTAAAAAGTAGAACTGTATTGAGTATAGTTAATGTCTGTTAATAAATCACTATTTATCTTCATCTAACTATGTCTAAATACAAATGTGTAAATCAATTATCTGCTCACCACTCATTGCGTGCGTCTGTCGTGGCGCGTCTTCGTTGGTTGATATTATGGCCTATATCAACCAATTAGGAACTACTCGTAAGTGCTACAGAATATTTGT